AGTAAGGCAGTAGGATTCAGTATTACTAATAACAGGAGTTATAAAGTTGTCAGGGACTCAGGATCCTTCTTTCTTTCTACTCCATCATCCTCAGTAAGATGCTGCTGGGACTCCAGTCATCACATCCCAGTTGCAGGAAGAAAAGGCCCTCCTCCTATTAAGTCAGTTCCCTGAAAATTTTCCTGGGAGCCCCACTGAATGACTTCTGCCACCTCTGGCTGCAAAAGAGTTTAGGAAATAGTGCCTTAGCTGGGCATGTAAGGAAGGGGCAGACTGCATTAAATAAACAACTAGTGTCTACAACAGTGATGGCGAACCTATGACACGCGTGTCAGAGGTGACCGGCGAACTCATTTTTTTGGTTGATTTTTCTTTGTTAAATGGCATTTAAATATATAAAATAAATATCAAAAATATAAGTCTTTGTTTTACTATGGTTGCAAATATCAAAAAATTTCTATATGTGACACGGCACCAGAGTTAAGTTAGGGTTTTTCAAAATGCTGACACGCCGAGCTCAAAAGGTTCGCCATCACTGGTCTACACTCTAAAGATCCGCTTTCTCTCAAACCAACAAAAGCACATCACAACTGCAGTGGAGGAAAACCCTATTCGAAAGAGCAACAGAAACCTTAGATCAGCGGTTCTCAACCTGTGGGTCGCGACCCCTTTGGCGGTCGAACGACCCTTTCACAGGGGTCGCCTAAGACCATCCTGCATATCAGATATTTACATTATGATTCATAACAGTAGCAACATTACAGTTATGAAGTAGCAACGAAAATTTTATGGTTGGGTCACAACATGAGGAACTGTATTTAAAGGGCCAGAAGGTTGAGAACCACTGCCTTAGATGCTTTGTAGATAAATGTAGCAAGAAAAGCACAGGAAGCTTAAGTAAAACATGGCTAAAAGAAAACGGAACTATAAAAATAGAGACATGTTTCTAGATGAAAACACTTGATAAAAATATCTTTCTCTGCAAATTATTCTCTAAATTTGATGCACTCAGGTTTTCAGCATGATATTTATGAGCTTGATAAAATGGTTCTGAAAGTCATCTGAAACTTTCCACATACCACAAAACTATCACAGTTGGCTGAGAATAGGCAAATAGACTAATGGAACAGAAAGAATTCAGAAACAGATCTCTGCTATGTGGAAATTTGCTAGGTAATTAAAAAGATATCTGAAATCAGTAGAGAAAGAATGAACTGTTCTCTACCTGTATTATCTAGCATCACAGCTACTAACCACAACTTTCTGCTTATTAAGTTCAGTTCCCTGGAATACTGGCCACATTATGAGCACTCAGAAGCTACAGATGGCTAGTTGCTACTGCATTAGACTGCACAGAAACATTTTCATCATTGTGGAAAGTTCCATTGGACGCATCGTTATAGATGGTGAAGGGACACCTGGATACCTACTAAGGAAAATAGATCCCTAACTCTGGGCTTTGGTACGGTTGCAACCACTGAGTAGGTGATCCTCCATGCCATTAACAAAGATTTAGCTAAAATATTTGATTTTTCTGTAGTAGTATTTTGGGCTTCGTCATATGTGATGATTATTGTAGTCACATCATTCAACTAGTTAATGGCAGAAATGAAGGTGCCAGCTTAGAAAATATTGTTTCTTTTTAAGGAGGTATGCAGGGTCTTGCTCCCAACTGTGTCTCTGGCCTTGCGGTGATGTCTGAGGCTCTTTGCCCACAAGCTGTGCATGTACCTTCCATGGCCTGTGAGTTGAGTGGGCAGGGACATGCTGAGGTGGTGTCTGGGAAGGTTGCATTACAGACCCCCAGCAGCTGCATTTCAGCTTTTCTTCGCTTATATACTGGAATCCATATCAGAGGGAAAATATTTTCCAATATGAACTGATAACTTCCCCAAGGTCTTTGCTGCTTTTCCTACTTGAATCTTTTGCGAATACTTTACATTGATTTGCCTTCTAAATATGTTGTGTCCAACACAGATGTTACATGAATATTATGTATACATACAACGCTTTTGATCTTCTAAGTAATTCTATTAAAGAGATTCAGACAATTTTTATATACTTCTGCATTAGGATGAGTAGTTCTTGGGCAACTGTACTTCGTCATGACTGATCTGGTTAAATCCTTCACTCATGTAGCAGAAGTTTTCTTCTCTTAGAAGCATGGCTTCTACAGATGCCAGAGCAAGGCATCAGATTCATGTGAACTATGAAAAGGATATGTGTGAACCTGTCCTTCTGCTGTATTCAGAAAATATCCAGAAATCACGTGTCTTTCTGGTTTTGAAAACTGATTTCTTACTAAGTTGGTAGGCCTGTGTGCCTAGCAAGGGATTCCCAATCTCTTTTCCAGTATACCACCTAATCTCCAGTGACTTCAGGAAACTTCTTTAGCTTTCAAATTCATATAATTAAATTTATTTAAATGTATAAATATATGTATTTGCCATGCAGTGCTGTGGGGAGATCGTAGCTCCAGAGAGGTTTTGGGACATGTCATTAGATTTCAGAAGGGTAAGAGAATAATTAGAATACTTTGTATAAATCATTAAAAACTATGCCTAAAGTATTTTGAATTTATTAACTTAAAAAATAAAACCACATGCACAGAAAGCTAGTAATTTAAAAACTATATTATAAATTAAGTATGTTTTACCATAGACTGTAAGAGATGAAAAGTGATTTTGAGTCTCCATCGACTTTGGTAAACCGATAAGACCTGTGATTTATCTGAAGTAGTTTATTGGAAATCGGCTGCGTATATGTGATGCCAACAAAATAACACCATTTAGGAGGTGTTGAATTCCCACAGTATTAGTAAAACCTAAGCAGAAAAAGATCACTGTCTTCCTGTTTAAGGAATGTTGTAAGGAGTCAGGTGATTATATCGGATCCAGCTGTTCTGACGGAGTACAGTGTTGGGTGACTTCCAGAATATTCTTTGGAGATAGTGTTCTAGGACAGCAGTCGCCAACCTTTCAGACCTCACGGACCACTGGTTGGCAACCGCTATTCTAGGAGACTGTTGTATGTGTGCCTCTGGGATGTGCCTTGGATACTCAAGAAGCAGCCCAGGAAAACTGTACTCTGTGAACAACCTGAGACCTATACTTCATTCTCAAAAATGAAGTGACTCTAAAACAGGGACACCAGTGATCTGAAATATGGCCTAAGGGTTTGGTACCTGTCACAGTGTCCTTTAAGGCACAAGTTTTCAAGACTGTCTTTCTTGGAAGTCCCTAACAGATAAATAGTTGCTGGTATCTAAGAGGGGAGGCCAACAGGATACTCCCAAGTTCCCAGTGTTACCCTTTCCACTGTGGTGAGGCCTCTTTAGCTGGAGTTCTGCTTGAACTCTTTATGTATCACTGGCATCTTCGCATACCTGCATCTTTGACTCTCAGTGAGATAGAGTGAAAAGGGACTAAAGAGTTGCTGTGAGCCCTGTTCAGTTCTACAGGTTGTGATACTGCTCTCTATACATTAGGAATTCCAGGTGGATGGCTACTTACAAAATAGTATTGGCTAATTATTGAACTTTTTATTACTCAAATTCTACATGCTTTCTAATAGGTGATCTATCTACTGTTTCCTAGGGACATTCCAGCTATATCACACACCTTGACTGGTCCCCAGACAACGAGTATATAATGTCTAACTCGGGAGACTATGAAATATTGTACTGTAAGTATGAATGATCATGTATGGCTGAGGGTGTCTGCCAGGGGCACTAATGAGTGGGCTGTATGCAATCTGAATTGTGCGGAGCATGCATGTTGGCCTCTCTAGCCTGACAGCATATGTTACTCTGAGCTAAGGAATGAGAATCTCAAATGTGCTTCACTTCTCCAAAAAGGTAATGAGTTAATTTAAATGTGCAGACATGTCATAAGAAATTAACTCGGCGAGATTGATGCTGCTCTGAATGGTTTTGTATTTACTCTTTCTGGTGATGGGAAAAAGTATAATGGATGGACATGTATGCTTTTTTAAAGAAAAAGGACCTTCAGTGGGAAACAATTTGTACTTCCAGAAACCATGCTTTAAAGTAAACTCTTTTCCTTTTTAAATGTATCTTAATGTTTTTCAGTGTATGGATTATAAATCCAAGTAAATGTGGCTAGTTTGAATCATATACATTTATACACAAGCACTGATTATACTTCCTGTTTCTAAATTTAAAGGGAACATTACAGAAAGCTGCAAACTAATCAGGAATCGATCAGAGTGTAAGGACATCGATTGGACGACATATACCTGTGTACTAGGCTTTCAAGTCTTTGGTAAGGACATGATACCTAATGGAAAAAGGCTGTGGAATTTTGTAGATAATTATTTGCCTGAATTCCTAAATGAAATAGTCTATATCTGTTCTTTAGTGTTATCACTATGAATGCCAGATTCAGAGAAATTAAACCGATACAAGGTTTGTTCTCTGCAGAATCCAGAATTCTGGCGCTTGATAAATAAGAGAAAGGAATCTATATATATGTAAAAAGCCAGGGGCCATCACATCCGAAACAACCAAACGGATGACTGAACCGGCTGAGTGGGGCGACAAGGCCGGCAGGGGGTAAGGGACAACCAAACGACTGAGCAGCAGGCTGTGTGGGGGCGACCAGGCCGGCAGGGCGGGCAGTGAGGGGCAACCAGGCCTGCAGGGGGGCCAGTTAGGGGCGATCAGGCAGGCAGGCAGGTGAGCAGTTAGGAGCCAGTGGTCCTGGATTGTGAGAGGTGTGTCCGACTGCTGGTTTAGGCCCGATCCCCAGGATCCCCTCAGGGGTCCCAGATTGGAGAGGGTGCAGGCTGACACCCCACCCCCTGCCCCCCCCATGCACGAATTTCGTGCACTAGGCCTCTAGTTTTACATAATGGACAGATTGCCTGTCCATTTTTTTTTCTCTAAGTGAAAACTGAAACTTTTAAATTTGTGAAGGCATTTTTATAACAGCTTTATTGAGGTATCACTCACTTTAAAAGTGCACAATTCAGTGGTTTTAGTATATTCACAGTTGTGCTTTAGTCATCACTAATTTCAGAACATTTTCATCACCCCAAAAATAAACCCTCCACCCATTCGTAGTCACTCCCACCTCCACCCCATAGCAACCACTAAAATCTATACTTCCTGTAATGACTGGTCTATTCTGGATAGTACTTATAAATGGAATCATGTAATATGTGATCCATTGAGACTGGCTTTTTTCATTTAGCATATTTCAAGTTTCAAGTACATATTTCAAGTACTATAGCATGGATCAGCACTTCATTTTATGGCTGAATAAGAGCTGTTGTATGGATATACCACGTTTTGTTTTTCCGTTCATCAGTTGATGGACATTTGAGTTGTTTCCACTTTTCAGCTATTATAAATAATGTTGCTATAAACAAGCATGTGTAAGTTTTTGAGTAAGCATGTTTTCATTTCTCTTGGGTATGTACCTTGAAGTGGAATTGCAAGGTCAAATGGTAACTGTGTTTAACCTTTTGAGGAACTGCCGGACTGTTTCCCAAAGTGTCTGCACCATTTACATTCCCACCAGCAGTTGGGGTTTGGCTTCTCCACATCTTGTCAGCAGTTGTTACTGTTAATTTTTGTATGTGAATGTCCAGTTGTCCAAGCACCATTTGCTGAAATAAAAAGGCAGTATTAGTAGATATTATTTAAAGATAAAATTTGGAGATCCTTATCTGATGTTTGGACATTCCTAGAAATCTGTCCTGACAGTTTTCTAACTAAGCCTTTCCCAGTCTGTAGGGGTCCTTCTGAACAAGTTAGATGGTAAATGGAAAAGTTAAAATAATAAAGCTGTGTTTGCAGAGAATTAAAAATAAATGTTATACTCAGTAAATAGAATAAAAAGGTTGTAGCACAAATACCTAAAGCAATACCCAAAATATTAATACTTTTCCTTTTAACAAGTCTATCTCTGCCTTCTGAAAACGGCTCTCAGATCCAGCATAAGTATAGATCTGAACACTTCTTTATGCTGTGTGCATTGGAAAAATAATCCATTGTAGCTGCTTGTTCTAAATACAGCTGCTGTAGAGATGGAGAAGCCTAGTAGGCTGGAAAGAAATGAAAAACAAAATAACCCTGACTATTCCATAAACAATTTCATTCTTCTGGATGAAACGAAGGCAGTGGCCAATAACTAATAACTTACCTAGTTATTTTAATGAAGCAATATGTAATTATTATTAGTTCAGAAGTGTTTCAATTTATTTTACCAAATTTACCAAACATAATTGTTCTCTAGAGTAGCATTGAACCACAGAAGACCAGCACTTCAACCCTATGTATTCCATAGTTTTAATCTAGTCTAATAAAATTCTGTGGTATGTTGAACATAACCACCAATGCCTGATAAAGATTAAAATTAAATTTTCTATGTCTTATCTTTGGACATCAATAATAGTTACCAGAAAATTCTATGGGATATCAGATAGACTAGACTCTCCGTGAGGTTTTGTTTGAAGTGCCTCTCTGTGAGAGAGGATGTAAATTTTACACAGCTTACCCAGATTCCACTTCGAAGAATTAGTGAGTCCCACAGCTTTGTTTCTGCACCTTGCTATACGAGTCCTGAGAACTTCATGAACTCTAACTAGAAACCTGAAAAAGGAAGAGCTTATTGGTGAGTTAAACTTAAAACTAAAATTACTTTAGCACCACCTGCTGGTTACTAGTGAGTACTTTTGCATCATTAAATTTTCCATCATAAGGCTATTTAGATTTATAATTTTATTATTAGTTAAACTTTGGGTAAAACATTTGAATAAAGTGTTGAGCCACTAAGAAATTGTAAGGGGAAAATGTTAGCAGCTAAGAGTTTGAACACAGATGAAAATTAGTAAGAGCCTGAAATTAAATAAACCTATGTAGCATCACAGTTATCAGTTATATTTTTCAGGCTAATTCTTCTGCATCCCTATGTTCCCATATCAAAGGTGTCTGGCCAGAAGGATCTGATGGGACAGATATCAATGCACTGGTGCGATCCCACAATAGGAAGGTGATAGCTGTTGCTGATGACTTTTGCAAAGTCCATCTGTTTCAATATCCCTGCTCCAAAGCAAAGGTAAAATTAATTTAATAAAAATTAGCATTATGGTGCCTTTTGTTTGGGGATAATTTTGTGTCAGTGGCACAAAAATATTTGTAGGGTTACTAATCACTGTCCATGATACTGAGATGCACGGGGGAGAACAGGGCCATCTGTTGTCAGTGTCCAGGCATTGCTTGTCTTCTCTTTCTTCAATAAGGACAAGAAGATAATTATAGAAGGTAGCTGATGACGGTTTATTCATTTTTGTTTATTGTGCATTTGTTTACATATTGGCAATTTTAAATTTCTCATAAACATATTTTGTTACATCTATGATTAGCATTATAAAACTCATGAGAGCTACTTCCTAAATCACCTACAATCCTGCCAACCTAGTAACTTCTTCCCTGGCCATCCAATAGAATAGTTACTAAGTATACCAACTTTTTCTCCAAAAGAGATGGGCTTTTATTTTTTTAGCTATATAGTCTATAGTATACATGTCTAATTATTATGCTTTATTTCTTCTAAATAAACAGTATTAAAGGGAAATTACTGCTAGCTTTATTCCTCAGATTTGATGACTCGTGGCTTTGATTTCCTGTTTTATGAGCTGAATTACCCCTTTACCTTGTCACCTCCATTGCTGTAAGCAGGCATGTAAGAATGAGTTTAACTTTCCTGTCTGATTTATTTCATATAGGCTCCCAGTCACAAGTACAGTGCCCACAGCAGCCATGTCACCAATGTCAGTTTCACTCATAATGACAGTCACCTGATTTCAACTGGTGGAAAAGACATGAGCATCATTCAGTGGAAACTTGTGGAAAAGTTGTCTTTGCCTCAAAACGAGATTGTAGTGGATACTACTTTAACCAAAGCCCCCATCTCTTCCATTGAAAGTGTCATGCAATCTGGTACTCCCACACCGCCTCCTTCCCAGCCCTTAAGTGAGACAGCTGAAGCAGCAAGTAGAATAAGCAATTCTCCCACACTTCTGGAGAACAACCTGGAACAGACTGTGGAGCCCAGCGAAGACCACAGTGAGGAGCAGAGCGAAGGGGGCAGTGAAGACCTCAGTGAGCCTGTTGATGAAGAGCCATCCAATGAGATGAGCCAGGAGCAGAGTGAAGCCCCTCTTACTGAGGACCAGCAAGACCCTGCACCTCTATCCTAACACCAGGGCTTGAGTGTATGTGATATTGAGCTAGAGTTCAGATAACAGGACAGGAAGTGATGGAGGATCACTATTGACCAAGATTTTGGTTTCCATGTGATCAGTTTTCTTCAGTAGAATTATCTTCAATCAAATGGAACCAACCTAACGGTTCATTTTGGTGTGCGTTGAAGATGAACCAAACTTAATAGGAAAGAGTGAAACATTATGTCTCAGAAATTATGTGTGTGTAAGTGGTGTGATGTCAATACTGGAAGCAAAACAGCAGTTGTATTGATTTAAAACAAACCCCTTGTTATCTGAACATGTTTTCTTCAGGAACAACCAGAGGCATCACAAATACTGTTACTCATCTACTGGCTCAGACTGCTACTTTTCTCCTGATGCAGAAAAAGAAATCAGAAAAGAAAAAAGAAAAAAAAAAGCTCCTTTACTGAGATACCCTCCTACCCCAAATGTGTAGTGGAAATTTGTCAGTTAAGAAAAACTCAGTATTGCCACTGGCAGTGGAGTTGCCTTCTTGAATAATAATGCCATTTCCTACACTACGGTAGATATCCAGGTCTGCTTGTTAGTCTACTGTATAGGTGCTGCCTTTCCTAAGTCATAATGAGGAGCAGTCTGTTAGTTTCTTGTGTGCGAGTCTATTTTATCTTAGAACTAAGAAAGCAGTGGTTTGTTACAGAGCTTTTAATGTATATTAAACCATTGATACGCAGAAATAATGGATTCCTCCAAGGATTCCTTTATTGGCCTGAACATTTTTAAATGTTAGGCATTTGTGGGGATGGAAGGAAAAAGAAACCGTATGCCTATAAAATTAAATTGTAATTACTAGGCTAATTTTAGCTTAGACTTCAACATAATTTGTTCCCTCAACAGCAGAAATATAAATACAGTAAGTTTAAATGATTGAATTGGTGCTTGAAGTTTATTGGCTTAGCTGTAATTTTTACACAGATTAATTATATTGAGGGGTAAGATACTCAGCAAATTGCAAATTCTTTTTTACAGAAGTGTGAATAACAGTCATAATTCTTTTTATAAATTGCATACTTAACAGACTTGCTATATATGGTCATTTTTCTCTGGTGGAAGTTGCTATAAGCCTTGCAATTATAATGTGGTTATCTTCTGCTAGTTTAGGCAATGCATGTATTATTATGCATTGGATAGTAGTTTTTGTTTTTAAGTTTCGTCAGATGACTTTGTTTTTTTTAAGTACGTATTTCCCTACTTTAAAAATAATTACTGACAAATACTCATTTCCTATATGTTTGTTTATACTTGGATTATAAAAAAACTTTTATTTTTTAGCTTGCTGCAAGTTTTGATATCTTTTTTTTTGTTAGAATATGTTTAGAAACTTTGGATGAGTTCAGAAGTCTTAAGTATGCAAGTGTTTACGTGATTGTGCCATTCCAAAGTGCATCAGAACTGTCATTCCCTTCTAGTATCTTCTCAGGAGTAATACAGATCAGGTATTTCATCATCATTTGGTAATATACAAACTCCAGTGAACTCCCAAGGACACTCACAACATGTATATTCACGTGCTGTATGTAAGGGTGTGGGTATGTGTGAAGGGGTAAGTCTAGACACTTACTCTGTGTTTGTGTGTATCTCTATATAAGCAGATATACACCACATTGAAAATATTCAATGTATATCTCTAGGTGTATAGATATATGTTCGTGTGTATCTCTTTCCTTTTGTTTACAACTGTTCAAAAAAAAACCTCAAAGTAGCTCTCTTCAACAGAAGAGAGGTAGTTTCCAAGCAACCCTGTTTTTTTTTTTTTTAGTGTGTTCTGTACATAATTATCACAGAGCATCAGTATCAGGCATATATAAGGCATATATATTTGCCTATTAGCAGTGGTGACTAAATTATCAGGTCAGCATGTGCTTTTCCCTACAAGAAAAACACTGAGATGAACAAGTAGAAAAGCATTTCTTCAAGCTCTCAGTGATAACCAGGGAGTTTATGTGGGCACATCAGTCACCTTTGGGGTTGCTGTGTACAACGAAATTTATAATCGTGATACTCTTGGGTGGTAGTTTTAAGACACTACTAATACGCAGAAAGCGTTCCAGCTCTTGCTGGCAACTACTGTTTAACAGTCAATCAAATCTGTGATAATGGTTGGAAGTGGGTGGGATTATGAAATTGTAGTTTTTAGAAAAACTTGTGAATGAAAATGAATCCAAGTGTTTCATGTGAAGATGTTGAGCCATTTCTATCATGCATTCCTGTCTCATGGCAGAAAATTTTGAAGATTAAAAAATAAAATAATCAAAATGTTTCATTTGTCTCTCTAAATGTACCTTAAACTCTTTCTTCACTTATATTGCTAGTTGCCATGACTGTCCCCTTTTTAGAAAACATGACAATTATTAGTTGATCACAGTTGCTATTACGGATACAACCATTCTGGTAGTAGTAAACTCCATCTCATAATATTAGAGGAAATTACTTCTGGTTTATGCTTCCATTTAATAAGGAAATAGCTTCATTTTAATTTATTTCATGTCTATACTTCCTCTAATGTTTACCATTGGGTAATCCTAGTGATCCTGATTCCACTGCCTCCCAGTATTAGCCTTTGTGAAATCCTTGAACTCAGTAGGACCCTGTATCCCGATTTCTCCATCTCTCCCATGTTGCTTAGTGACAAGGATCCCGTGCACACCACAACCATAAATTGGCTGCTACATACTTTCTTTTTGAAGTTAGATTGAGAGTATTCCATCTATTCCCCAGCTTTATAATCAAGGAAATGACAGGGTATTCATCATTACCTTATTCACCTTTGGTGACTGACAGAGCCACTCACATATACAGGCATACTTCGCTTTATTGCACATTGCAGATGTTTTTTGTTTTCTTTACAAATGGAAGGTTTGGCAACCCTGCATCAAACAGATCTATCAGCACAATATTGCAATAGGTTCAGATGATGCTTAGCATTTTTTAATTAGGTATCATCTTTTTATACGTATTGCTATTGTACACTTAGACTACAGTATAGTGTAAACATAACTTTTGTATGTACTGGGAAACCAAAAAATTCATGTGCCTCGCTTTACTGCAGTGGTCTGGAACCAAACCTTCAGTACCTCCAAGGTATGCCCGTACGAACTAACCCATGAGAGGCTGTCCTGGAGTAGGAGTTTCTCTTTCACCAATTCTGAAACAAAATGGCTGATGGACACCAGACAAACCCACTTAAACAGTGTGGCTGAGGTGTTGGTAATACTGCTAGAAGAAATTAGGTTTCCAGCTTAAAGCTGGAACTAAAAGGAAGAGGAGTAAAGAGAACATGTTTAGGACAAAGAAGACAGGCTGAAGAGCAGCCCCTGTGCGGCCAAGCATGCCCAAGCACCCTGGTTCATTTAGTGATGGGGGGGGGGGGGGGGGGGGGCGCGGAGGGTTAGTTACCCTGTAGGCCAGGAGGTGGTTGGGAAGATTTCATAACTGACCATGTTCATTTACCTAGATAAGGGCCACGCCAGGACTTCATGTTTTATAGCTTTAAAGCTCACTCTTCTTCCACTTATACTGGGAGGAAGACTTTCTTTAGAAACAGGTAGCAAGCGGGAAAGGATGAGGGTACAAATTCACAGATCTGGGGAAGATAAGCGAAACAGCAGAGGGTCTGTCAGTCTCAAGCCTCAGGTTCACCTTTTCCAAAGGAAACCTGAATTTCTACTCTGCCCACATTAACAGACCTGTACAATAACCTTAAATGCTCTGGTAAAGAAGATACAGGGGGGAAAAAGAAGTAATCCCAAATGGAGTAAAGAAAGCCTGTCTCCTAGAAATGTCAGTTTGTTTCATTTCTGTACCTATGGGTGGCGTCCTCAGGAGACCATGGCTCACTAAACACATTATTATTGGGTCCTTTTTTTTTTTACTTCACCAATCCAGAAGTCTGGCAGAAAATCTCAATTACCACTTCTATATCTCAAAGGACAAAAACATGAAAAAATGGGCAAAACCAAAAAACAACCAAAGTATTCAATAATTAAAATATGGTATATCCATATAACTAAATGCTATTCAATGATAAGAGCTAACACTTACGTGCTTTACGTCCAGCCCCATTATCTCCATTTTACAGAGAAGCCAGGTTACACTATAAGCAAGTAGCTGCACCAAGATTTGAAGCCAGGTCCTGCTAGTGCACTATAGACGTTTGCTGTGAGACAATAAGCTAGTGATTACTACAGGAAAGACTAGAATGATTCCGCTCCGGGTAGGAAGGATTTAAGACCAGCATAAAGAAGAACTACAGAAAGTGATTAGGCTTTGCAAAAGGCAGTTTTGGGCTCTGAACAGTGTCACAAAGTTGAGGGACCTGCTTGTGCACAAGTCCCCTCCTTCCACCCCTTCAGCCAAGTGCAGAGCAGAGGAGCTCCCAGCCTCTAACCTCACATTCTGACACCTGCTGCCAGTGACTGCCTGCTCTTCCTGCCTTTGTTGGCCAGAGTTGCACATGAGTACCAAGTCCTTACTGCTCCATGTAAACCTATTTGTACAGAGATTCTGCTTCCTTATTTTCTAACTTTTGAGCAATTTCCATTTCACAAAAAAAGCATGGCAGCTTCTGTCAGGGGCCAAGTGCTTTTCCCACATTGCCTCATTCCCCATCTCTCACTGCCAGTGGCAAGCCTGGAGGTTCTCCCAGCCCCACGCTGGGCCACTTGGCTTTGATCTTGCATCTCCTCCCCCTCAGCAATGTAAACACATAGTCCTAAAAATAGATTTCACTAGGGAGCCATCCATTGACAGATGAATATGGATAACTGCTGGTGCTGATGACATCACAGTTTACTTTCACCAGTTCTCACTAGAGGAACTGAAAACAAGGGTCGCTAAAAAAAAGGGGGGGGGGTTGCTAAAAGAAATGACCTCCAAGAGGAAAAATAACTTTTCAATAAGAAGCAAAACCCTCTTACCTGGTCATCCCGTTTCATTCTTGATGGTCACATAGCCACCGAGCCAGAATGCATCCTGGGAGAGGTCACAGGGTACTGCAGCCTGCCTCTGCACGGGCTGTCCATGTAGCCGACACGGGGTGGGGGCCTTGGAAACCTGGGCGGAAGCAAGGGAACAGAAGCTGACATTCTCTTACCAGATCAATGGTAGAACTACTTCACTTAACATAACTGTCATTCAGATGCCCAGGTAAGGCAGGTCCTCCTCCTGCTGCAGACTTCAGTCTCTACAATAAAAATGTATTGTGCTGCCAACAGTTTCAAAGTGGCAGCCAGTCTGAATCCTGGGGAGTAAGTCATCCATTGATGAGGCATATACAAACCTATCTCGTGCAAGGAACCATGCTGGGCCCCACAGGCAATCCAATGATGACTAAGATACAGCCCCTGCCTTCAGGGAGCATGTAACCTAGAAAGGTGGGAAAAACAACCTTTCTAATTTCCCTCAAAATTCAAAAATTATCACTACGTGCTAATAAATAGTGTATGATTTGAAATGTGAAAAGTAAATATTCCTATTGAGGAATCATGGATTGGTCATCTATTGGAACCACCCATCCATTGCTTAAATTCTATAACAGATAACATCCAAAAGGTTAAATTTTGATATTTAAAAAATAGTGTGGAACCCATACAATGGAATACTACTGCCTAATGAAAACGAACAAACTATTGATATATGCAAACTTGGATAAAGCTCAGGGTATAGAAAGTCAATTTTGAAAGTTTACCAGCTGTACATTTCAAACACATAACACTAGAGGCCCGATGCCCGAAATTCGTGCAAGGGGCTGGCTGTCCGGTCTAATTAGCATATTACACTTTTATTATAGTTTCTCAACATGACAAAACTATATAGAACAGACTAGTGATTGCCAGGGGACGGTACAGAGGGGAGGGGATGTCACTATTAAGGGGAAGCACAAGGGGGTTTCTTTGTGGTAATGAAGTCTGTCTCTTGGTTAGGAGGGTGGTTACATGAATATATACATGGGATTAAATTGCACAGAACTACACACATGAACGTAAAAAGGATGGAAATTCAGAAAGGTCTGTAGTGTAGATTAGTGTATTATATCAACATCAATTTTAATTTTACACATTATATAAGATGTGACTATATTTGGGGGGAGAGAAGCTGAGGGAGGGGGTTCACCAGACTCTACTATTTTTCAAACTTCCTATGAATCTATAATTATTTCAAAATGACAAATTTAAAAAGATATAAACACTTTACCTTCCCTTTATGTTTTTGAAGGGAAAGTGGAAAAGAAAATGGGTCTTAATACAACAAAATTTTATACAATTTCTATCCATGTGCACTTCAGGTACAAATTGTGAAAGTGGGTGCTCTCCACAGCTTTTCCAGCCACCACTCTGCTGCCATGGGTGTCTGTGGGAGAATTCCTAGCTGGAGTGGGCATGAAGAAGCCCAGGCAAGGGAGGGGTGCTGTTCAGAGGTGTGGTTGTTAAGTTCAGCTTGAGAGCAGGGCAAGAGACAGCCTGGAGCAGCCGTGGGCAAACTACGGCCCGCGGGCCGGAAAGGAAATGAATAAAACTAAAAAAATAAAAGACTGTACCCTTTTATGTAATGATGTTTACTTTGAGTTTATATTAGTTCACACAAACACTCCATCCATGCTTTTGTTCCGGCCCTCCAGTCCAGTTTAAGAACCCAGAGTCAAAAAGTTTGCCCACCCCTGGCCTGGAGGCACGGAGAACTCACCTGCTAGTCCCCCTCCCCTTGAGGCACCTGCTGCATAACTCACACGGGAGATGGCCTCAGCGTATCCTCTCCCTTTGCTCAGGCACTGTCCCCTTCTCCCTCTTTATTTTTTTGCTATTTTTTTATTGTTTAAAGTATTACAAATAGTACATATGTCTCCTTTTCCCCTCACTGACCTCCCCCCTACCCCCCTAGCCCCCAGCACATGCCCTCACCCCCCCTCCCAGTGTCTGGGTCCATTGGTTATGCCTATATGCATGCATCAACTGATGAACAAAAATAGGTAAGAGACAAGCATCGAACAGACTGTCAAACTACAGCGGGATGGCAGGGAAGGGTTTGGGGGGAGGGGTAAGAGATCAACCCTTCTCCCTCTTTCTGACTGGTGTCATTGGTATCACTCCCTTTCTTGGAAACCCCTCCAGAAGCCACCCTCTGCTGCCTTTCCTCGGATGCTTGGGCTGAATCACCTCCCCTTATCCAGAATTTATAAAATGACAAGGAAAAGAATTCCACTCTTTAGCACGGCCCTCGTGAAATTGCTGCAGATTTGAGATTAGGTGATCAGGGTTTCTCCCATGAGAGTGACAGGCCCTCGGGCTTCATCGGCAGAATCTATTTTTGCGTGGCCTACTGTTTGCCAGGCTTTGACATTTCCATTTAGAAGATGAATTAATTCTGAGCTGAGCCAAGGATCCTCTTTTGGAAGATGTGTTAAGACTCAGGCCCTCGCAGGACACTGGAGCATCCATGAGACTCTATCCCTTTCTCACATGATGACGGGTCAGCCTTCCTGGGGGGCAAGTGAGGAATCTGACATGAACTAAGGGGCTGCAACGAAAAAGGTATTTTTCACTGTGGGCTTAGGCACCATCTGTGCTATCCCCAGGCCCCATCTCCCTGATCACAGTCTGAAAGAAGGGGATAAGGCCCTTGCTTACCAAGGGCATTTGATCCACATGGGAGACATCCTGGTGAGCTCATGGGCTCTGCCTGGCCCTGTCTGTGAAGGCCCAGCATGAGAGAAGACATTAGCTGTCCCTGCATCAGGGCACAGGGAAGGCTGCCCCTCCGGATGACTGGCTGGGGCCTCCAACACAATAAACAATGTTTGCTCTGGAAGCGATGAGCAGTGCAACCAATTGTTAGGAAAGCCTGCAGATGGCTCCATTAATAAAGCTGCCATTCACAGCTGCCAAAGCTGAAGTAGTTTCTATGGGAAACCCTCACATTAAAATAGAAGGAAGTTCTTTTAAATTATAGTAATTACATTTTCATTAAACATTATCAAAGTTAAACACGGGGATTTGTCTGGGAGGGCACTCATCATTGTGAGCTCTGAAGGCCAGGGATATATCACCTCTCTCTGGTCCCTGACACAGAATCTGACACAGCGATTACAGAATGAATGGTTTGTGCCATAGGGTTACTGGTGGTGAAAATGGGGCAAGTCCCCTGTCTCAAGTAACCCAGATCTGTCCACGGAAAAGCCCTGTGGAAAGGACAACAGGGCACCTGGTAGTCCATAAGGGAAGAAAGCAGAACTTGTGGGAAGCCAGAGATGGCCCAGGGTACTCAGAAGACTTCAAGACCCAGCTCTAACGTGGCCAGGTTGGCAGACAGCACGAGGAAACCCCAGGCCCAAACTGCTCTTGGGTATGATGCTTGAGGCACGACTGTCTTCACCAGGGAAGTCAGTCTACCCCTTCTGTTTTCAGTGGCATCTGGCCCAGACCCCAGATCCCAGTGAGATTCTTCTGGGCCCAGAGCACAGCACGGAGCTCTGCAAAGACCAGCAAGTGTCCCCACCACACACTCACATTCCCAAGATACATAAATAAGGGTAGAGTCAGCACCTCTGACCTCTGTCCAGACCTGGAGCTGAAGAAAGCCCATCTCCCCACCCTACCTCCCGAGTTCCCGGGGTTGGGACGGTGCACCTTGACGAACCCTGGGTTGACTTTTCGGTTGCAACACACCCCACCCATAATCACTCAGGAAAATAAATAGAAAAAATATGCTGGATGACAAGGTATAGTAAATCCTACAGCAGGGACACTGAACTTTATCCCACCGTTCTCCCCACACCTCCTGCTATGGCCACTAGACAGAAACCTGGGAATGCTGACTCTCAGGAGACTGAGGCTGCAGACAGGCCCAGATGAGGACTCTGACCCCTCACCCGGCAGAAGTAAGGCCACCCAATCCCAAGGCATAAGGCTCAGGCAGCTAGATCATATCGCAAAGGGCAGCACACTCACCTCCTGACCCACCAGGTCCTCAGCTCCCGAAGACCTGCCCAAGCTGGCCTGGGCTGGGTGGTGACCACTCCTGAGCTTCCATGGCCATAGGACATGTTTTTGCAAGTTACACACCCTGCCCTAACCATCAGCAGTGACAGCTTACCCCAGTCTTCCTGCTGCAGTTGCGGCCTACTTCCTCTGGCACGGAACTTCCTGATACTCAATGAACAGGGTCCGACTAAGGGAGACACATACATATATATGGGCAGACACATACATATATAAACCGATTTTCCAAATGACTGTTGCTTCAAGAGGACATGAATCCAGGCGAAAAGGGAACAGACACCAAGTATAAACAAAGGCCCTTCTGTGTGACTCTAATTAGAATGACAACCAATTGAAAACAATTTAATGTTGGTTCATGAAAGGTTAATGAAATTCATGTTTTGAAGATGCAGAATGCAACACGGATATAGCCAGAAACACATTTCTAACCTTCATTCTCTTTAATTATTCGGTCAGAATAATTTCCCGAGAGCAGTTTTAGTCTCTGGATGGCTTTAATTAAACACCACTGAACTTTAAGTTAACATCAACTCATCCAGCTGTAACTCAATTTTCAAATTAACCTGCCATCTAACATGAGGGTTTTGTGGCCTAAGCAGGGGTGTGGTGGGGGAGGGGAAGATGGGCATGGAGCCTGACAGGTATTCACCAATTCTAGAACATTTTCCATCTTTCCCCCACCCTCTCCAGTGGCCAGGAATTTCTGTAACCTGTCGCAAGCCTCTCTAAAGACAGAGGCCGAGGCTGAGCCGGGCAACCAAGCTGACTCCTTCCTTGGACTTTCCCATAGTCCTGGGCTCTGGCTCCATTCTCTCCAACAACTTCGGCATAAGCCTGGTACAACCAGACCCTCAAAGTGAGCCCAGGGCCAGCAGACCCCTGCCCCAGCGCCTCCACTCTACTCTTGCCTACCTGCCTTCTTCCCCCTTCTCTCCCTCCCCTTCACAGTGCTGAAATGTGTCAAGAGCCCTGGCTCAGCCCTGACCAGTCTGGCTCGGTGGATAGAGCATCGGCCTGCGGACTGAAGGGTCCCAGGTTCGATTCCTGGCATGTACCTTAGTTGTAGGCACGTCCCCAGCGGGGGGTGTGCAGGGGGCAGCTGATCGATGTTTCTCTCTCATCGATGTTTCTGATTCTCTATCCCTCTCCCTTCCTCTCTGTAAAAAATCAATAAAATATATATATTTTTAAAAAAGAGCCCTGGCTCAGCAATCCTGCCTGACTAGGTGCCCTCAGGAAAGACCCCTATTTTCTGAGCTGACTCTGGCACTTCACCCAGGCCCCGGGTATCTGCCTCACTCCTTTTCTGCCTTTGAAAACCAAGGTTCCTGCTTTTGTCAGTTGCATTTCGTAGCCGTACCAAGGCCCTTTTGCAATGAGTTTCTGCTTCTTTCTAAAACTTCTTTCCTGCTGACTGGGAGGCTGCCCTAACATCTCTCACAGCTTGGGGCAGCTTCAGCCAACTGCCATCAGAATGTGATATTTGAAGTTGGCAAAGAGTCTAATCTACCTAGTACGTGTTGGGCAATGTGAAGGACCTGTACTTTGGCCCTGAGGTACAGCCACGTGACCATGACAAAGCTGCGTGTCAAAGGCAAGGTCAGGGCAAGAAAACGCATGACGTCCCAGGAGGGCTGAATTAGCACTCGAGGAAAGAAGTATTATCTAAAGAATGCTATTCCCAGCCACTCTGCCTGACCTTTTCCCTTAGTACCTGCAGCAACTTTCCTGGAATCAGCTCACACTCTGGACCCTGAGCAATAAGCAGCATCTGGTCTCGGTCTATCCAAGATCCTGCAGCAGCACAGCCCCTGTGCACCTGGAGCTACCGGTCAGGAGTCCTAATGAAGCTCAGGCAAGTGACGGCTGCTGACGGCAGAGGAGACTGCGGATGAGCCATCTGCTCCAACACTATCTTGCAAGGTGGCTGAGTCACCCCAGTGGCTCTGTTCAAGTCATGAGAGCAAGGTCAGCTGATGCTGCCCTCACAACCATGAGGGTACGCCCCCTACAGCCAAGGTGAACGGTTCCCAGAAGAGAATCCACAGCCACACTCCCCCACCCACATCCACCCAGGGGCAGCCTGTCCTAAGGTAACCAAACCCCACCCATCCCAAGGAGCTCCCCAAAGGGAAGGGCAAGGGATAACAGTGAAATTGCTCTATAACAAGAAAGTTTCTTAACCAAATGATTTACTAACCCTAAGAGATGAGAGACACCCTAAAAAGGACCTAAAGATATTTTTTTAACTTTAATATTTTAAAATAATATTTAATTTTGAAATAGAGTGCTTGCTTATAGGGCAAAGGTATCTGACTCATCTTTGGGTCCCCGGCACCTGGTAGTATGTGTTTTTGCACTAACTAAATATCTGAAAGCAGCAGAGCATTAGGGGACTCCTTGATGACCATGAGTCAAGGATGACAGCCAACGAACCTGCGAGAGGAGCACTCAGGACAGTGCCCACTTCTCAACCAACCCGCCATGGGCAGTCTTTGGTGATAGATTAAAGTGATGCAACCCAGGATATGTGCAGTCAAATGTCAAATAAATGTACTAAATCACTGGGACCAGATAGTATCTGAATTTCTAAGCAATCAATCACCATTGCCCCTGGTGTATCCTCTAGCTATGGAAGATCGATGAGCCAGAAAGCCGGGCAGCCTGCCCACAGCCACACTCACAAAGAGGAGAAAAAGTATATAAATCAAAGCCAGCCAGCCAGTATTACAATAGTCACTCCCACCCTCACCCTGACATTGATAGCTTCACACCAAAGTCACACTGGATGAGGGGCCTGGAAGGAGAAGGAAAGTTGGAACCTGAAAGGGCATCTGCTGACAGAGAAAACAAATGATGAATAAGAAAGAACGGCAAAGTAGCCATCTGCAACCTCTCTTGCTTTTGTGCACCCTAAAGAATTTTGAAAATCTTTGTGTAGCCTTTTGCATATGCAAGTTTAACAACTAAAACCTTTCATTGTAAGTTGAAATAGTTGCACGGAGTAGTTTCTGGTGTATTATAGATAAGGGCTTAAACTATTAAGTCACAATCACCTTGTCCCAAAGGTAATCCTTGTGAGGCCCAACTGCGCTTGGGTTCTGGGACATCCCCCTTTCTGCACAGGCTGGTTCTAATGAGTTTCTGGAACCTGCAAACAGAAGAAGTTTGGCTCAGAGAAGTCAGCAGAGACTGTTCCTGAGGAAGGCAGCAGATGGACCAAAGACATTAATGGCACTATCAAAAGGACCTGGACACAAGTGGGAAAAGCACATGAGTAGACAGTTGACAAAAAAAGAAATAAAACTTACCTTTAAAAATAAAAAGATTTTTTAAAGTAAGAATAAATTTTAAATAAAAGAAAGATATTCAACATCACTAATTTCAATAGGAAGGCACTTTAAACCAAAGGAATTTTATCACTTACCAGATTGGCAAAGAAGAGGGAGAGCAGGCACGCCCCTCATGGTTAGACAGGAACATACATCAGCACCATCGCTTTAGTGAGGAATAGCTATCACAATGGGGGATGCACATTCTCTAGAAGTCTCACTTCTAGAAATGACCCTACAAATATAGTCAGTAATATAAAAAATGACAAAAAGATTATACATTAAAGGAGTGCTTATAAAAGCAAAAAAGATACGACTAAATAACCATCAAAAGGAGGCTAGTTTATATTCATAAAATGGAACACAACGCAGAAAAATAAAGCAGAGAACAATCTCCAGACTGTGAGTAGTGAGAATGTATAGTGCCACTTGGCCAAAAACAAAACAGGCAGCAAAGGAAAATGCATCTGATCTGTGAACAGAGGCCACGGGGCTGGAGAAAATGTAAGGTCTGCACGGAAAGCATCTTGTGTGTCAGGAAGTGAAGAAATGCTCAGAGACTGACAGGGGCATGTCAACAGGACACAGAAACCAAATTTGAGCTGAATTTGAGCATCAGAATGATAACTACAGAGATGGTTATTACATTGAATGAGAAAATTACACTAAAACTTTTTAAAAGGGGGGTACTCATCTTCACAGAAAAATATCAACATTGCAGAAGAAATGACAGAATAGAAAGTCACTTTTTAAAACCATCTTAAAAATAAATGACTCAGGTCAGGGGACAAGGAGAGATAAACCAAAGAACTTGTATACTTCTATGCACAACCCAAAGACAACAATAGGTTGATGAAGACCTGGGGGGTAGGGAGGGACTGGGCAGAGGGGGGAGGTAAAGTGGGGGAATGGGAGACATCTGTAATACTGTCAACAATAAAATAAAATAAAAAAGATTGAGCCCAGCCGCTGTGGCTCAGTTGGTTGAACATCGTCCCATGTACCAAGGGGTCGCCAGTTCGATTTCCGGTCAGGCCACATGCCTGGGTGCAGGTTCGAACCCTGGTCAGGGGCATGCAGGAGATAGCCAATGGATGTTTCTCTCTCCCTCTCCCTCTCTTCCCGTCTCTCTAAAATCAATAACAAAGAACATATTCCAAAAAAAATTAAAATAAATTATTCAAAGAATCATCAATGAACACTAACACTGGATGCAAAACTATTGAAAATAGGATATTCCCAGTCTCAAATATCACCCCACAGATTACTTGTTAATTACAAAGGGGAAAGGGTATCTTTACAAGGGAGAAATCTCACATTTTAATTATCTAATTCAAATCATCAATAATGGGACAAACTGGTATTGAGTACCTTATTATACCACTGATATAATAAGGAAAACACACTATATATAAAGAATTCCTGACAAAAATGTTTAACCTGGATCCAATTATAAGGAGACCATTAGACAAATCCAAGTTAAAGGATATTCTGCAAAACACTGGCAGTCGATCAATGTTTCTCTCTCTCATCAGTTTCTCTCTCTTTCTTCCTCCCTCTCTCTAAAAATCAATTTTTAAAAAAGGTTAAATATGGAGTTATCATAGGACTCAGCATTTCCACTCATTAGATGCCCTATGTCCATCAAATACCTGATGTAGAACTGTGCACCTAAAACCTGTATAACTGTGTTAACCAGTGTTGACCCAATAAATCTAAAAATAAAAAAATACTTGTATACCAACATTCATAAAAACATTCATTATTCATAATAGCCAAAAGTGGCAATAACCTAAATATCCATCAACTGATGAAGAGATAAACAAAATGTGGTATATCCATATAATATTCAGCCATAAAAAGAATGAAGTACTGATACATAATACAATATAGATGAACCTTGAAATCATTACAGTGAGAGAAATCAGTTACAAAAGATCACATATTGTATGATTATACAGTAAACCCTCGATTTTGCAGACTTCAATTTAACAGACTTTCGATTTAACAAACAAAATTTCCGGTCCACATGTCATATGCAAAAATTAATGCCCTGTTAATTTGAAAATACTTTTAACCTATATTTGCTTATAATTAAATTAACAGGTCATTTTCATTTGTTATTAATCCACTGTTATTTTCAACAAATTTAGGCAGATAGGCCAAATGTTGGGAAAAACTGTAGTAATTTCACATAATTAAATATTACACATCTACAACTATAGTCTACATATTTATATCCAAGAGTCACTGCTAGTAAACAATGTTCAGCAAATGATTAGCACATGATCGCACCACACTGCAAGTGGTAATTGGTTCTGTTGTTGCATGGCATGACTTTCTGCAGCAGTTTTAATGCATGCTAGCCAATGTTCTAGCATTTATTTACTCACAGTGATCTATTCAATATAAATTTTTAATTGCTGTAATACATATAGAAAACTTCTACATGAAATTAAAATTTTCATACATAATTTTAAATTCACAAATTATCTACATCAGTAAAAACAAGTAAACTAATTTGTCAGTTTTGTTAACATGCATTCGGAAAACCTACTCTATTATATAACGAACTTTCAGTTTGAACAGATACCCCTCGTCTGAATTAGTCCGTTACGTTGAGGTTTTACTGTATTTATATGAAATGCCCAGAAAGAAAAAAATCTAGAGAGACAGAAAATAGATTAGTGGTTGCGCAGGGCTAGAAGTTAGGGTAGGGAAGGGAAGTGACTGCTAATGGCACATAGAGTTTCCTCTTAGGGTAATAAAAATGTTTTAAAACTGATTTGTGGCAATGGTAGCACAACTCTGAATTTATGAAAACCCACTGAATTGTACACTTTTTGTTGTTGTTGTCAATCCTCACCAGAGGATATTTTTTCCATTGCCTTTTAGAGAGTAGCAGGTAGGAAGCGGGAGAGAGAGAAACATTGATGTGAGAAACATCGATTGGTTGCCTCCCACATACACCCCTACTGGGGCCAGGAATCAAACCCACAACCCTTTGGTGCATGGGCCCACACTCTAACCACTGCTCAGGGCTGAATTGTACACTTTAAAAGGTGAATTGTATGGTATGTGAATTATATCATAATAAAGCTGTTATTTTAAAAAACGTAACTACAAAGGACACATTATTAGGATACCTGGGGAAAATTAAAGAGAGACTCTATATTAGGTATCAGTATTGTTGTCAATGTTAAATGGGGTGTGACAAATGAGTTATATCCTTACTCTTAGGAGATACTGGCTAAAGTATTTATGGCTGAATCATCATAATTCTATAGCTTAATCTTAAATGATTTAGCAAAAACCAAATGTTTATGTACATACATTCATTGTGTGCCTGTGTTTTGGGAAAGCAAGAAAAAGCAAAAGTGGCAATATATTGATAACAGGTGATCCAAGTGAAGGATGTACAGGTGTATTTTGTACTATTCTTACAATGTTTCTGTCATCTGAAATTTTTCAAAATAAAAACTTGGGAGAAATATCAAAGAATAAAGTTTAGACTTATACAGACAAATAACAACTACCTAGCCTTTGGGAATGCTGTTGTTTATAAACACAGTATTTTACCCTCAGTAAGAAATCACTATCCTGTGTTATGACAAGATACAGATCACCACTTCATCTATAATAATCTACACTAATAAAAGGAAAACATGCAAATTGACCATCCCTCTGCTACACCCACCAGCCAATCAGGGTAAGCATGCAAATTAACCCAACAAAGATGGCAGCGGCCATGGAGCTGGAGGCTTGGGTTGCCCCTGGCGACAGAAGCCAAGCTTCCCGCCTGCCCTGGCCGCTGCTGAAGGAGTGGCTGGGAGCCTGGGTCGGGGGTGACCTAGGCTTCCATCGGGCCCTGGCCTCCGCTCAAGGAGGGGCTGGGGGCCTGGGTCTCCGGGGGTCGAGGCCAGCCTGAAAATGGCCATCAGCCCCTCACCCAGGCTGGCCAGGCACCCCAGCGGGACCCCCCTCCCACACCCTGAAGGGGCTCTGGCCAGCCTGAAAACGGCCCTCAGCCCCTTACCCAGGCTGGCCAGGCACCCCAGTGGGAACCCCCACCCTGAAGGGGGTGTGGCCAGCTTGAAAACAGCCCTCAGCCCCTCCCCCAGGCTGGCCACGCCCCCCCAGCGGGGACCCTCACCCTCTATACTAATAAAAGGGTAATATGCTAATTAGACTGGGAGACCTTCCAGGAGACCTTCCGGACGTTCTTCTGGACAAAGCCATGGTGGCGGGGCCGATGTAGAGGCGGTTAGAGGCCAAGAGGGGACGGCAGTTGTGGGTGATCAGGCCGGTGGGGGGGGGGCCAGTTGGGGGCCAGCAGGCCATAAGTGGGGGTCAGTTGGGTGTGATCAGGACTGTGGGAGGGGCAGTTTTGAGTGAGCAGGCCACAGGGGGGCAGTTGGGGGGCGAGCAGGCCAGTGGCGGAGGGAAGGTGGAGGCGAGCAGGCAGCAAGGGGGGCCATTTAACAGGGAGGCCCCCTTGGGGGGGGAGCACACTGGCACGTTCGTGGTGGGGGGGGATCAGGCTTGCGGGGGGGGCAAACATCCCGGGGGAAAAGTAAAGTTGGGGATTAGATTGGCCTGCAAAGATAAATGCGTGGGCCTTCGGGCTGGAGGGCAGGTTGATCTGTATAAAACTCGAGCTTCAGCAATTTTCGGAGAGGAAGACCCCCACTTTCTCTTTTAGCACGCAATACCTTTTTACCCCGGGGGGGGGTTCATTAATTGGAAGAGTAGACGATGAGTTTAGG